CTACTACTACTACTACTACTACTACTACTACTACTACTACTACTACTACTACTGCTACTACTACTACAACTACTACTACTGGACACATACAAAGAGGAAGACTAGACTGCTTTACTTTCCGTGTGTTGTTTCTGTCTGTCTGACCTTTTCCCAGGGCTAAATGACCATTGTTGAATCGATGTGCTTCTCTTTACTCAAAACAAACAAACAAACAAACAAACAAACTAGGAGAACCAATGGGCAATGAATCGGATTAATTGATTTTAGCTGCGGCCAGCAAGATATTTCCAGCATAGATTGGGCAAAAGCTACCATTTTGGCACAATACGACCAATTCGACTTACGACCTTGAAAAAACAAATTATGCACTTGATTTTTAATCGTGCAGTCGAATTTAGTTGAATTTGATGGCTTTGTTTTGCCAAATGAGTAGTTTTTATTTCATCCATGAAGGACAATCTAGCTGACCCTAACTCAATCAATCGAATCAGTGTATCAGTCTGCACTGGGTTTTAGACGTACCTCCTATTGCTTTTTGGATTTCCAGGGACACCACTTAGCCCTTATCACTTGACTCTCTGGTTACCGCCTTTGTTTATTTTTGGGTGAAATATAACCCAAAGACATTTCTGGCGTCAAGGGCTGATAAAGAGTTGGATTTTTTTTTATAGCTTTACAATGTGCTTGTGGTACCTAATCTCTACCTTAGAACAACACAGTTCTATCTGACATTTTTGGCCGCTTTGAGTTGCTATCAAGACCATGGGGTCAGAAACCAAATGTTCTATCTACTCTACCAAAATCATAAAATAATTCATAGTCGTTATCACGAAATTCAAATGATTGCGTTCGAAAAAGGCTTGCGAAACTTCAAATTTTTTACTTCAAATTTCTCAAAGCAAGTTAGCCTACGGAGCAGGTAGAATTGGGTAATTTTGAGGTAGCGACAAGTAAAAGTCAACAGATTCATACATTTTAGGGATTCTTCCACTACTGAATATTGTTACCCTGTTTCACTTGAGCGGATTTTCACTACTTAATATCGTCACGCTGTTTCAACAGCGTCCTGGATGGAACTATGAAAGACAACCACTTGCAACACAGCATAATAAGCAGAGAGTCTACAGCGTAATAAATACTGTGAACTCTCTGGCATACGCGGAGGTGACGAATATAAAGAATAACAAGAGAATGGGCCAGCTTTTATTAGACAAAAATGTCACGTAAGAGGAAGGACCATCAATATAACCATATGAAAACCGCCCGGCGATTGAATAAATCGGCAGCGCTCATGTGATTGCTTTAGAAAACGTTCTGTGTATGGGTACATAAGCGATGTGTTAAAAAAAACTGTTTGTGTATGTGTACATTTGCAATGTGTAATGACAGTCTGTGTATGTATACATTTGCAATGTGTTAAAAAGCACTGTTCTGTGTATGTGTACTTGCAGTCTACAACAGTCTGTCTATGTGTATGTTTGCAATGTGTTAAAAATGCTATGTAAGTTCGAGTTTCAAAATGGTTCTTTGAACAGATAACCATCAGTGGTCAAATGAACACCATCAGTTTGACAAGAACTGATCGGATAATTGTGATATCCAAAGCACACTACATCAAAATAATGATATGTGTCATGACGTAGTGGAATCAGACCCTCGTCAATTTTTGGCCATGAGTTAATGGTATAACCTTAAAGCTTGTTTAGTTTTCTTTCTTTCGATGAAAAAAAATACCCGTCTATCTGGAATAGAAGTCGAGATATAATTTGCGATTGAAGGAGATGGCGTCGCCTTGTTTCAGCAGTAAAATTAGGGAGAAAATGACAGCCAGTTTGGTGACTTCCAAAGCTTGGGAGTTCTTTGAAACTGTAAAATCACATTTTTGTGTGCTTTTAATCAACGTTTTTTTTAGTAACTTTCATACAGACATGTGTTTTTAAATACATATAAAACGTGTTGAGGCAAAAAAGAAAATTATTTTTTAAAAGTGTCCAACGTCCAGAAAAATGCTGGTTTCTTTGAATTAATTGTTTTAACGAGCACCTGATTTCCCCATGCTGTCTCACATAATATGGACTTCTGCTTTGCTTCATCAAGTTTGGCAAAGACGTTCATTAAGACCTGTCCTAACCAGCCTGCCAACAAAAGACCTGACCCAATGATATCATGGAGAAACCATCTTCGTCAGATTTACCTGATCGTGAACTAGAAAATAAAACAATATTTAATTTTGGAGAGTCTGATCAAATAATTGTGCCATAACTGCATCTTTAGCCCCACCATGAAGAAAAATCTGGCCTACTTC